GATTGACTCAATCCAGGATGGGCGTGGCAAGTGGGTGACTGGACCGACAAACACCACCTTCAAGCTACCAACGCAGGCTACAAACATCGGAACATGGAACGTTCGAGTCTTCTATGCTTTCAGGGAAAGAGTGGACGGACATGAAAATGTTGGAACTCCTAAAAGCCACCACCAACAGATCATTCTGGGGGAGGTTGGCTGTTTCTTCCGCCTCCGGGTCCTCCCAACAATTGAAGCAGTCAAGAGACCGATGATGATGACCCTTGGGAAAGATATAAATCAATCTATTCTCTCCTCATCTATAAGTTAAATAGGAACTCTCTATAGCCGTGGTCGACAACATAGGAGAAGGACAACTCTGAAATCAAAACTAAACGTGTCTATAGTGGGGCACATACTTGACCTGTAACCAATATCCGCTTAGTACAGTGGCAGTATGAACCACAGGTTAATTCTATGGGTATTAAACAAACACAAATGGGCCTAAAAATATTTTCTAGTTTTAAATAACACGGAGAGGGGTGATAAACCGTAAAAAACGAATCAATCAATCAATGAAATACTGATTAGCTACACAGTCATGTATTTTAGATTTATTTACATTCTCTGGATTAAATGCATAGAAACTACAGTGTCCAAAAAGTGAGGGATCAGTTTACATATTGATTGCAATACAGAATTGCACCCTACTTTATATCCACATTATTGTTACTTGTTTGTTTATCAAATTCTGATTAGATATGAATCCACCACTTCTCTCCCCAGCTATGGGTTAATTAATAAGGCTTGTATCACTAAATCATTATTATCTTATATTTAATGAAACATGCATCAATGAAAAAATGCTGCCTAAATACACACAATTTAAATTACATGATCCAGCAGCCGACCAAACTATCAACATTTGGAATTATAAATGTAGCCTTGTGAAAAAGCAAATTGAAATAGGCAATAATGCCTTATGTAAGCCAAAAGCTTAGATAGGATTAAAAAATATGTATCAATATTGTGATTTTCTTTCTTCGTTTAATGATAATATTATTAAGCTTATCAGACGATATGAAAAGAATTTACATAAAATAAATAGACAACACTTGTCTATATTATTTAATGAAACATGTATCAATATATATATATATATATATATATATATCTCCAAGTTTAGGATTGGTGTATATGGAATAAATTTCAATAACCCAAAAATACTATTCTTAAATGAGTGCTCAATACAGAGTAGAGCAAATATATATATATATATATATATATATATATATATATGGCTCTCTTACACCTCACTTTGTTAACTTTACGTATAATTGATGAAGTCCGTAAAAAACGTGTGAATTTCTTTTCATTTTAGCTTTTGGAAGTAAAGTCTGATGATCCAGAACCCTGTTAAAGGTGTTATGGTGAAATAGCTTATTACATGGAATCTTAACGTGGTCTGTCTTTTATTCAAACATTATATATATATATATATATATATATATATATATATATATATATATATATATTTGCTCTAGAAAATGAATCAATCTGTAGGAGAATCAATTTACAATGAATTTTCATCGCAAATTTGACCCCCCCCCAATGATCTTTGATAAAAGTTAATAAAAAAGTGTCAAAAATAAATCAATTAAAAATCCCTTGTGAAAGATATGAATGTATATTCTGCCCTCAGCTATGGGTTAAATAGTAGGGTAAACTGGACTCTCTAGACGTGGTCCGACACCAGTATAGAACAGTATTGAAAACACTGTGTGTCCGCTAGAGGAGCACATATTTGAAATATAAGCATTATTCTTCTATGTACTGTGTGCTTCAGGACATGGACGATTATGGCTCTCCACAATTTCCTGTAGGTCATTCTAATGGGCTAAACTTAAACTGTAACTAATGCAACTAAAGTTGCTTCAGATTCGTTCTGTGGGTGCTGAAGAAACACAAATCGGCCGGAGCAGATAGCGGGGGGGGGGTCTTGGAATCGATCAGACATTCTGAAGATAAGAAATCATTCCGGTTTACAATGTGCCTTCGAATCGAAACAGCTCTGATGATGGTACCCATTATATTGTGAAAATATGGAGTTTCTGAGATTTTGTCTTTTGTTAATCTCCGTACTAAAAGGTTACGACTGAAATATTAGTGGCGAAAAAAATCTAGACGTATGGAAAGATAAACTTCCAGCCAACAAATTGATCATGAACTTTGCGGACAGACATTTCATTTGGGACCCACCCACCTGATAATTTTTGATACGTCTCTGCAAAGCAAACGTATTCTCCTGAACTATGTCCCAAATCAATACTCTCGCCTCTCAAATAAACGAGGAGATACACATATTAAAATTTTGAAGATTAAGAAACCCCACCGAACATTATTTAAAACTCCCGTTTATAAAAAACAAAAACAAAAAAAAAACAATGCATGTTGTGAAAAATGAATGTTTGAGGTTGCTTGTGTAGAGACTGAAATGTTAAAGTCTGATTTTCCTTAAGTTTTAAATTAAACTAGACGTATAAAGTTTTTAAAACACTGTAATAATGGATTTAGCATTCTATAATTTTAATTAAAATAAGGTTATATTTGTTGTCACTTAATTAAAGTAGAATTTCCCCAAGATTCTACCAAATGTATACCGTATTTTCCTGAAGTAAGTCTTGAAAATTTGCAAAATTATACGGAAATTCAGTTTTCATTTGGTGTTCGCATAAGCTTACGAAAACCCTAACCTTCGCACGGCAAATTTTCGAGACATACAGGGTGCGATGGGTAAATTGTCACCAGTATATATTTTTAATTTCGCTCAAGCGTATTGTTTGTTGTTGGTTTTGTTGACTTCACAGTATAGTCAGTTGAGTAACGTCTATAAGAAAAATAGAACCTGACGCGATTCACTCCGCCAGAAATTTGGAAACGACATGCTGTACTGCTTGGCATTCGTGCCGGAATCTCCAATACGAACATTTCAGGGTGTTTGGGTGTCAATCTGAGGACAGTGCAGACGATTTGGAAAGAATTGGATGATATCACCAGTCAACATCATGGCGTTTGGAGTGATCACTAGTGATGGTGACGTTATGCCTCCATTCATCTTCCCACAGAGCCTCAGACTCAACATGGAGGCCTACATTAAAATGCCTTGAAAAGGTAATGCTGGGTCAAATGGGTGGCTGCTTGAAGACCCTATTCTTTCAACAGGACTCTGCACCATGCCACACAAGCAAGAGAACCCAATCATAGCTGTTAGATAATTTCTGCATCCATATCACCCCTTATATCTAGCCACCTAACTCGCCAGACTGCAACTCTTTTGATTATTATGTGTGGGGCGGAGTTAAACGAGAGACCAACAAAACTCCTTGTAACACCAAGATGGACTAAAAGGCAAGAATTATGGCAGCATTATTCACCAACTTAAACAAGGAGAGCGTCTTAGTAATCACCATTAGTTGCAGGAGATTTTGAAGTCCTCAAGAGGCTATGATTGAAGCCAATGGCAATTTCATTGAATAAATTTACTCTTTAATATTTCAAAATATTTTTTGTGTAATTTTGGTAAATCTGTTAAAATGAGATATCAGTGTTATTTTCATTTTTGCGTCATGTAGACAACAATTTATCCATTGCACAAAACAAAAAAAAAAAAAAAAAAAAAAAAACTATATCCTTGACGCCCCCCACGATACGACTTTATTTGTTGCGGCTTCAATCTGAAAAATTATTACTCAGTATGAAATTAAACAAAAATTGACTTTAGGAAAATTGCCAGTCACTTACCTGATTGTCCTTCTGACCAAATTCTGGTTGTCAATGTTCCTAAAATTGTAAGCCAACACAAACGGAGGATAAACTTCATGTTATTTTAGCCGCGATTCACTTCTCACGGATATTAAAATGTAACTTCACTTTTAAGTTGTTCTTTTAAAAAATCCACATGAAGGCCAATGGTCAATCCACACGTCAAATTTTGTTGATATTTATTTTTATCTGGATGTACGTATGTGACTTGAGGGGGTGTTGACTTTTGATTATGGTTTGTTATCTCTTTTACTCTACGAATTGTGCATACGGCTGCAGACATTTATTAGAAATGGTTTTAGACATTAGTCTTGGGTCGGACTATTTGTTTAAAAAGGAAAAAAGAGTGTATTTAAGTGTGCGAATTGAAAATCGGTAAAAAAATGGGGTACAAAATTAAAGAAAATTAATCATACAAAAGATGAAATCAAATATTTATATTTTAATTTTTTTTTTTTTTTAAAGATAAACCGTATTTTAAGAAAGTGGATAATTGTAAAGAATTTACTTTACCAAATAATCGTTTTCTTGTTTTTTTTTTTTTTGTTTTCTCTCGTGTTTTTCGTTGTTTTCGATATGAATGAGGCACACGTAAAACGTATTTTTCTTTCTCTTTATTTTCCCTTCAAATTAATTACGAAACTTTTTTTTCCTTTGATCTTTCTCTTTTTGATTCGGTTTTCAGGAAAAATACAGAAGTAGTTTCGTACATATCCTTTCAGAATCGGTATTTTCTTTTCTAAGAGCCAATGTTTTAAATTCTGCTATTCTCCCGAGAATTTTCTTCAAATCTCGTTGTTCCACTTTTGTTGAAATTATTTATCACCTTTGCCTCAACTCAACGATTCTATTCTCGCCCGTATTCATTTTTTAAGCAAGCAGCCAATTTCTTTTTGGTAAAAATAAGATTTGATTTTTTTTAATTGTTAAATATATAAATAACTGATAAGTTGTTTGCTCGTTTTTTTTTTTCTCGTTTTTTACTTGTTCGAAATAATTAGTTTTCTTTTTTTAAAATACTGCACCTTTCGTCATTGATTTTATAGATTTCAAGACGAGGGGGTCTAACCACACGATAAGCTGCAAAGATGCCTGAGTTTTCAGACAACGTTGGTGATGGTAAGAAGATTTTAGTGTCGAACTGTCGACTCGACCTGACTGTCCACTCTTGTACCTTTGTGCGATGTCTATAGGGGTGTATGCATCGCAGTTCCCGCGTCCCAGTAAGGCGAGTCGGTGGGTGGGGATGGAAGAAGCGGTCTACTATTAACACAACGGTCGACAACCTCTTCCCCTACCCGCTTATTCTTCCATTCTTAGGAAGCTAAGATATCTTCCTTCGTACAAGTATGTGCGTATGTCGTGTGTCCATGTTGTATGTATACAATAAAGGTAATTAAGACGGCAGATACACGAAAAAAATGGAGGAGGAGGAGGGGGAGGTCGAGGTAGATGCATTGTTACTAAACATGGGTAAAATTATTGTACCAGCCCAGAACTATGGATTAAAAAATACCCCAGTATCTATCTATCTATCTATCTATCTATCTATCTATCTATCTATCTATCTATCTATCTCAGTCTATTCATTTCTATCTATCTATCTATCTATCTATCTATCTATCTATATCAGTCTGTTCATATCTATCTATCTATATCAGTCTGTTCATATCTATCTATCTATCTATCTATCTATCTATCTATCTATCTATCTATCTCAGTCTATTCATTTTATCTATCTATCTATCTATCTATCTATCTATCTATCTATATCAGTCTACTCATATCTTCAGTGTGCGATGGATAAATTGTCGTCTAAAAAGGAAAATAACGCTGGCATCTCATTTTAACAGATATAATTACCAAAATTACATTAAAAATATCTTGAAATACTAAAGAGTAAATTTATTCAACAAAATCGCCATTCAGCCCTGGCCTCCAGTCTACTTCGTAATATCCTGCAACTCTTCTGGACGATCTCCGTGTCTAATTTGGTGATTGCTACCTTAACCCTTGCCTTTAGGTCACCTTCGGTGTTACGAGGAATTTTGTTGATCTCTAACTTAACTGTGCCCCACACATAATAATCAAAGGTGTTGCAGTCTGTGGAGTTAGGTGGTCAGATGTAAGAGGTGATGTGGTTGCATAAATTGTCTGACAGCCAAGACTGAATTCTCTTGTGTGGCACGATGCTCAGTCCTGATACCAGATATAGGGTCTTCCAGCAGCCACACTTTTTGACTCAAGCCAGCACTATCTTCTCAAGATGACGTAAAACTGAGTTTAGTCTGAGGCCCTACGGGAAGATGAATGGAGGCATAACGTCGTTATCACCAGTGATCATTCCAAACACCTTAGTAATCACCATTAGACTCATCGAACTCTTTCCAAATCCTCTGCACAGTCCTCAGGATGACAGCTAAACACTCTGAAATGTTCGTATTGGAACTTCCAGCGTAAATGCCAAGCCGTACAGCATGCTGCTTCCAAATTTCTGTTAGACTGAATAGCGTCATGGTGATCGTTTTCTCACAGACGACTCCCAACTGACCCTACTATAATGTGCAGTGGGGAAAATGAAAAGCAAACAACGCGTATGAGCGAAATTAAAAATATAAAATGGTGACGATTTAACCATCGCTCTATCTATCTATCTATCTATCTATCTATCTATCTATCTATCTATCTATCTATCTATCTATCTATCTATCTATCTATCTATCTATCTATCTCAGTCTATTCATATCTATCTATCTATCTATCTATCTGTTTCACTCTATTCACATCTGTTTATCTATCTATCTCAGTCTATTCATATGTATCTATCTATCTATTGATCGATCGATCTATCTGTCTGTTTATCTCTCTCTCTCAGTCAATTCTATCTATCTATCTATCTATCTATCTGTTTCAATTTATTCATATCTATTTATCTATCTCAGTCTATTCATATCTATCTATCTATCTATCTATCTATCTATCTATCTATCTATCTATCTATCTATGTCAGTCTATTCATATCTATCTATCTCAGTCTATTCATATCTATCTATCTATCTGTTTTACTCTTCATATCTATCTATCTATCTATCTATCTATCTATCTATCTATCTATCTATCTATCTGTTTCAATCTATTCACATCTGTTTATCTATCTATCTCAGTCTATTCATATGTATCTATCTATCTATTGATCGATCGATCTATCTGTCTGTTTATCTCTCTCTCTCAGTCAATTCTGTCATTTATCTATCTATCTATCTATCTATCTATCTATCTATCTATCTATCTATCTGTTTCAATTTATTCATATCTATTTATCTATCTCAGTCTATTCATATCTATCTATCTATCTATCTATCTATCTATCTATCTATGTCAGTCTATTCATATCTATCTATCTATCTATCTATCTATCTATCTATCTATCTATCTATCTCAGTCTATTCATATCTATCTATCTATCTGTTTCACTCTATTCATATCTATCTATCTATCTATCTATCTATCTATCTATCTATCTATCTATCTGTTTTACTCTTCATATCTATCTATCTATCTATCTATCTATCTATCTATCTATCTGTTTCACTCTATTCACATCTGTTTATCTATCTCAGTCTATTCATATGTATCTATCTATCTATTGATCGATCGATCTATCTGTCTGTTTATCTCTCTCTCTCTCTCAGTCAATTCTATCTATCTATCTATCTATCTATCTATCTGTTTCAATTTATTCATATCTATTTATCTATCTCAGTCTATTCATATCTATCTATCTATCTATCTATCTATCTATCTATCTATCTATCTATCTATCTCAGTCTATTCATATCTATCTATCTATTGATCGATCGATCTGTCTATCTATCTCTCTGTCTCAGCCAATTCTATCTATCTATCTATCTATCTATCTATCTATCTTTGTCATTCTATTCATACCTCTCTCTTATATCAAATGTATGTATGTCACACACATAACCACACGCACCCGCACACACTGTTTATGTAGATTTCGCAGGTTCAAATCCAGCTTGCCTCAGCGAAGCGTGTTATATTGTTCAATTTGCCAGCCTATATAGACGTGTACTGATGTCACAGTATACATTCAAGCACCTTGTCACGGTATAATATTTAGGAAACCGCTCTCACAGATCGCTTAGTGAATAGTGACTTCATTCCTCATTGGGCATCTTGTACTTGTGGCTTTCTGCGAAATTTCAGCCCCCGCTTACTAATGAAACTACAGTGTAACCCGGATATAAGAGAGTTGTCGGGACCGGAGAAGAAGTCTCTTATATCCGGGTTTCTCTTATATCCGGGTTACACTGTATTAACATTAATAATAACGACGGCGTTTGAAATACTGTGAGAATTCCGAAAATTTAACACAACATGATGCAATTTGGGGGCCACATAATGAGTGAAAGATCGAAATAGGGTTACAATGATAATAACCCTTATATATATATATATATATATATATATATATATACTATTTACATTATTCGGACGATTGTCATCATCTTTGTTACCATATTTATCACAAAGTTCCAGCCTTCTTCAAGTGGTTGGAATGTCGAACTGAACCCTTTATTTCACTCACTGGGGTAGAGAGTTCTAGTTCCACGTGCCATGTTTAATGGATGTCAGTTATCAGTTATCTCCTGTTAGTTCCCCTCTCCAAGTTCTCCTCTGCCTTAACCAGGTATTGAACACACACTAACGCCTTTATCCATGGTGCCATGTGTCCTTGAGGACATTTGTGTATGAATTTCTGGGTATTATAAACCTAATATCATTAGCATCCATTTTTTAACAATGCTCATATTGTAATTTTTGCTATTATCAACTATGTTTTTACCAGAGCTCATACTGAAATTTTTGTTGTTATTATCAATTTTCTCTGGCACTCCTTATTACTGGTTCCCATATTGTATTCATTTCTATGCTTGGTTGGCTAAGGAGACTTTTGTGGCCTAGCATATGTACTGATTTCAGAGGGTAATTAACAGGAGATAACTGATAACTGACACCCATTAAAATATGGCACGTGGAACTAGAACAGTCTACCCCAGTGAGCGAAATAAAGGGTTCAGTTCGACATTCCAACCACCTGAAGAAGGCCGAAGCGTACAACGGCCGAAACGTTGTAATAAATATGTCGACAAAGATGAGGACAATAGTCCGAATAATGTAAATAGTGTACATGATACCACATCTCAGAAATATCCACACACACACACACACACACACACACACACACACACACACACACACACACACACACACACATATATAGGGTTAGGTAAATGAGATAAGTAGATATTAGCAAACGTATACGCACGTGCTATCGTGCATACGATGGTAAGCAAATAAATAATTACCAAATTTAGCCAAGAGGTGTAAACATAAGCTACATCTCGTGCCCTATGAGTTGGGTAAGCAACGAAACTCGAGTCGCACACCAAACGTAGGTATATATATATATATTTATTAATGTATATATATATATATATATATATATATATATATATATATACCGGGTGTAACACCAAAATTGTCCAATTGGTAGATTAAGCTCTGAACCGATGTATCTTAGAAATGATTAAAGATATCTTACCGAGCTTTTTATAACACTATTGAACTCTAATAGTCGTATGCAATCTCTAAGTTAAGTGACCAGCCGTTTAAAATCACCCAAGTAAAATAACCAGTAGTCTAACACACCCTGTGTCAAGTAACTAGTCATCTAAAACCTTTTGGCCAAGTGACTAACCGTTTCTAATCCCTTAAGTCAGGTGACCAGCATCTAAAACCACATTAGTCAAGTGACCAACCTAAGGTAAGTGACAAGCCGTCTAAAACCACATTAGTATGTAGTGAGTGCCAATAAAATAAAATAAAATATAATCAAAATAAGGCATTTGATTTTATTTAAAATTATTTAAAATTATAAAATCCCTTCTTTCTCTCTCTTTTTTTCTCTCACTCTAAACATTTCTCTATATTCTTCTCTTTCAACTAACGAGAAGGTAATCCTCAAATAAAAAAGAGGATGAAGAAAAGACTAAACCCGACCGAAAAAAAACCGAAGTTTGCTGGACCAGAGTCATTTGTGACTAAAAACTACCAAAATCAGACAGGCTCCACGCATAACTTCCATTATGAAAAAAAAAAAAAATGAAAAAGAAAGGAACGCTGGAAAATAAAATAATTTTGGCGAATCAAAAAGAATTAACCGAAAAAGACTTTTGATGCTAGCCGAAACCAAGGTTCGCGACAGTAGTCTGGGATCCTGGTCAAACGAGATGTGGGAGAGGAACCACAGAACAAGAGACTCGAAACCAGCCATACGTGACGCGTGAAGTAGTTAAAAGGTCATCTGATAATGATATTTTCTACCCTGCTTAGGGCCGAAAAAAGACCGTAGATTGACGCTGACCTATTTATAAGAAGATTATTAATACCAAGTTCTAACTTCAAAACTCTTGAATACCGAGCCGAAACGGACTTTCTCTTGACTGCTATCAAAATCCGCCTTATAAACGAACATTTTGCCTTATCATGTGACCGGCCCTATAAAACTAATTTAACCAAGCTTAACAGTGTGCTAGGTCTGCCGTAATGCGTGGAGAACTTTTTAAAAATTGACTATATATCAATACTAAAGGGGTGAATTTATTAATATATATATATATATATATATATATATATATATATATATATATATATATATGCATATGTATATATAAATAAAAAAGAAAGAACAGTAAGATATATAATCTAGTGTTCTTATAGTTATTTTTATTTTTACAAAATAGTGCTCAATGTAAATTTACAGCATTAATATTATAAATTAATTGATTTAAAATATGTTTTTTTCCGCTACACAGTTCTAACCATGTTTCAAATATTGGAGGAAAGTGGACGTGGTGTGGTGTAATGCTTGTCTCGCTAAAAACAATTACGACTGAGTAGTGAGTTCGATCCTCACTGGGTGCTCCATACTTTCGGCCTTGTGCCACATACGCTTAGAAAATCACTATATAATGGAGGAAAGATATATGAGTTCATTTGAATAGATTTGTTTATGTTGATGCGACTACACATGTGCACGATATATATATATATATATATATATATATATATATATATATAGCTGGCCACTCGTATTCGAGGATACCCGTCTACTAGACCGGCTAGCCAATCCCTATTGCAGATGCTTGTTCAGGCGCATTTGTGTTTATTCAAAACCCACCTGTGGTTTACACTGCAATTATGCTGAGCAGACCTTATTTACAGTTTCTAGGAAAGAGCGTGTTATCAAGCGTGATCATCGATTTGAACAAGGGCTCCGTCTAACCAATTTCACTCACAATGCTTGGGTCAACCCACGGTATGGTTTTCAGGCAGAGTCGGTTACATTCTTATACACGATCGTCGGGTACAAGGAATCTACATTACGGCGGTGGGAAAAGGATCGAAGCCGAGATACCAGGTCAGGACCAATAAAACTGCAGATTCTTCTTCGGATTTTAACTGGAATCTCTAAATACATGGCAGGAGATACAGACTTGATGTGGCAGTAATATTCGCACACAGGCACGCACGCATACATACACTATGAAAAAAAAAACTTGCACCAATGCAAAGACCATATAAAAAAGAAAAACCGCGAAGTAGTCAGTTACTGATATCCACTGATGAGTGGATGGTGTGATTCCAGGAGGGACCATCTAAAAAAATCTGACGGTATGAATCGGCTAAGTGACAAACCTTTTACTTGTATTAATTACGTATATATATATATATATATATATATATATATATATATATATATATATATATATATTAAATGGTGCAATATAATTAATATTATAAAAAAGTAGTCATACAAAGAATAAATCAGTAAAGTTAATGTAATTGATGGTGAAATCACTTCGCTAATAGATTTAATAAAGCATTAACTTACTAACCATTCGTTGAATGATGTTTTGTTGTAAAATGGATTAGATGTTCAGTCCAATAGTTTCGATGAATCCTTTCATCATCTTCAGACATGGATATTATTTTTTAATTTCAGGTAATTTTGGCTAACTTTCGAGACGAAAATATATGTAATAAAGGTCGAAAGATGTTTTTGTTAAAGTGTGTTATTATTAACAGTTACAAAATTTTACAATTTTTAAAAACAAAAATGTGTGTGTGTGTGTGTTTTATATTTAATAAAATGAAATAAATTAAAAATATATCAGGTGTCAGTGATTTAGTCACCAAAGGAAACATGAGAAAAGTTTTTAGTTTTAAAGCGTTATCATTTCCCCCCCCCCCAAAAAAAAATTATCTGGTCGGGTAATTAAGCCTATCGTTAGCAGTACAAGTTGGTGCTTGGAACAAAATGGCTAATTGATATCCAATGAAACATTCTCTTCAAATCTCGACCAAGCGGGGACGGATGTCGTCGTTTCGGCTCTCTCTTTTCTTCTTACTGATACATAACACAAATGCTGTCAGTGACCTTACTACGAATACGCAATATGTACATCGAGATATGGACAACACAATCACCCCTTCACACACACACACACACACACACACACACACACACACACACACACATACATATATATATATATATATATATATATATATATATATATATATATATATATATATATATGTAAAAAAAAGAAAGAACAGCAAGATATATAATCCGGTGTTCTTATAGATATTTTATTTTTACAAAATAGTGCTCAATGTGAATTTATAGAGCATTAATATTATAAATTAATTGATTTAAAATAGGGTTTTTTTTTCGCTACACAGTTCTAACCATGTTTCATAAATAGAAGCTAAAAGCCACGAATTTAATTTTGTGATTAAATTAAAGACATTAGTTCCATTTCATCCTCAAGCGAATTTTGGAGTAACTTTTAAAAAATTACTGGGTTTTAAAGACAC